AGCAACACCTGCATTGAGGAAAAGGGTTTTCAATGACTAATGGCACTGTCTTTTAAAGGCTGGAAAAGAATGCTCCACTCAGGATTCTTTGGCTCACAGACACCCAAAACATTAACATTTTTATCTCTCTCTCTCTCTCTCTCACACACACACACACACACACACACACGGATGGTGTGAACCTGCTGCGAGGACCCACTGGAGCAGTCTTTCCCAGAGACCACAGGCAATGCACCCCAGAGAGCAGGGGGAAGTTATTTCTTACAAGCTCTGCCTTCAGAAACCCACCTGCAATGGTGCGTTCTAAGGGAAGGAGCTGAGGAAGCTTGATCTGACGTGGCTTTCAAATGGATGCGGCCGGACCTGGGATGCCTACAGGAGAGATCAAGGAATAATACAATAAAATAGAGCTTAAGCATTTCCTCCACTGGAAATTACCTTTTACTGTCCAATCTCACAACTGGCGTTTATTCTAAAACAGACCAAAAAAAAAAAAAAAAGAGTGGCGAGCACTGCTCCCAGACATATATGTGAATTGGAGGCAAGCGTCCAGTCGAAATTTAAGAGGTTTTTAAACATCGATTTGGTTTTTGTTTTAATGGCCTGTGTACTTACCGAACTATTAAACTTCACTAGACCATAGCCAATGGTGAGCGTTGATTGACCACTACTTTTAAAGCGGGTTGTGTTTGTTCCTTTTAGGGACATGAGCAGTCACGTTAATGTCTGAAAAAGCAGCAGTCGTTTTCCTGCGACGGGGCTTAGGTTGGGAGGGGAATGGAGGTTGGGGGAGGGTAGGAGAGCGTGCAGGAAAAGGGGAGGTGTGCATTCCGGTAACCCTCTGCTTCCCAGGGGAGTAGACTGCCTCCACTGCTTGATTCTTTATCTCATCGATATATACTTCCTTAAATTTGATCATGCCTACGTTAATGCGTTCCATAGATATTTACTGAGCGCCTAGTACCTGCTAAAGCTAGCAGATGGGGATGCAAGAGGTTTGTCCACGTGGCGGAGGCCCCGTGCCTGCGGAGGTGTGGCCCCCGCGCCTAGGCCCTTAGTTGGAAGTGACTGCGCACGCTGGCGGGTCCCAGACACCAAACCCCAACCCCGGCTTGGGGCAGGGCCACGCCCACCACCACTCCCAAGGCTCCTTGCTCCGGGGGCCTAGAGATTGCAATTCAATCCTAATCTGTGCGGAGTTGAAACGTAGGTGCATTCTGATCAGCAGATGTCCATCAAAAGGAGGGTGGGTCCGACTGGCTGAATGTAAAGCAGGGATGATTTTAAATGCAGTTGGGAGCACGAGGAGAAGCAGTTTCTCCCTGGCCTTACCTTAGAAAGGGGATGGAACAGGAAATGGAGTGACTGCTGGTATTAAGGGGTAAGTCTTGTTTCACGGAACTTTGCTTTATGCAGGGAGATGTGTGTATTGAGTTTACTAATAGAATGTGTGTGGGTTTTTTTTCCTTTATTGATTTTAGAGAGAGAGAGAGAAGCATCGACGTGAAAGGGACACATCGAGTGGCGGCCACCCGCATGACCAACCATGGCCGGGGCCAAACCGCAACCGAGGTACATGCCCTTAGTGGGAACCGAACCGGCTCTCTCTCTGGACCACAGGTCGACGCTCTAACCGCTGAGCCAAACCGGCCAGGGCAATAGCATGTGTTTTAACCCGTGGATCCCAGTTAAAAGGTTTTGAAAACGGGAGGAGTGACTAGGCCAGGGAACTTCTAGTAAGCACACTGCGTTAAGGCTTTCTTGGGCCAACAAAGTGAAACTTTTAAAACAGGTAAAGGAGGAGAGTAAATATTCTTTCAAGAAAGCAGATACCGGGTTGAAATTTCCTTAAAGTTGCATTTTTTATTTTGATTCAAAAAATCACGTAAATACATTGCATTACAGCATGTGGCTCGGTGTGTTTTATATTAAAATATTTACATTCTTTATTAAGAAGAGAATGGGCCTGTCTTCCCTTTTTTCCCTTTCTTCCCTTTTTTCAGTTGATTATCTCTGCAGATGGTACACCATCCATCCCCTCAGTTACAAAATCCTAGGAGCCCTCTCTGGGCCGGGGAAGCGAGGAGGGCTGAGGAAGGAGGGAGCCTAGGCCGCGGCTTTGGCTCCCTGGAAAGGTTGTTAGACAGAAAGGAGCCCAGGCGGAGCTGCTGCTGCCCCCTGGGAAGTCAGAGGCAAGGGGGCACTAGGGCACAGGTTCTGGGGCCGCCCCATTGCTCCCCTGGCTGCAAGTCTCCCGGGGATCCTTAGAGTTTAGGAGGCGCAGCGGGAAAGGAGGAGGAGAAGGCGGGCCTGCTCCCAGGACAGACAACGCCACCCCAGTGATTTTTTTGCTTTCACTCTTCCCTCCCTCAGTCCGTTCCCCACACATCAGGCCCAATCTTTTCATCTTTTACCCCAGCCAGAGCAGCTACTTTTTGTTTGTTTGTAAGGACCCTGTAATGCAATGCAAATGGCTCCCCCGTGCATAGTCCTTAACCTTATCACGGGCCACTTCCGCCTTTGCCACCGATGAAATGAGCCAGGCCTCCCTCCCGTGGCCTCCCTCCCGTGGCCTCGGGCCCGCCGGCCCCTTTGCACTCCAAGCTGCAGCGGGAGCGCTCGGCCCACCTCTTCCTACTGGCGGGCTCTTCTCTTCCGGCCAGGCCCGGCCTTTCCGGACTCTGAAGATGGCTTCCCCTCCCCTCCCCCTCCTTCTCTAGTCAGTTTCATTGCAGTGTTTTTCCTGTGACACTTACATCTCACGTGGGTAAAAGCTCCACAGAAACTTGGTATCTTTTGCACTGGTGTGGGGTAGGCACCTAGAACAATGTCTGGAACTAACTCTTTTCCAATGACTAATAGGTCAGTGACACACCTTTTTAGTATTTCTATCCCAGAAATCTAAATTTCTATTCTCAAAATCTAATTTTGAGAAATCTAAAATTAGGTTAATCTCATGCCATTAACATCCAGATTTTTTTAACTGAATTTACTGAGATGATATTGGTTAATAAAATAATAGATTTCAGCCCTGGCTGGTTTGGCTCAGTGGTTGGAGAACCGGCCTAAAGACCTGTGAGTCTCGGGTTCGATTCTGGTTACGGACACGTGCCTTGGTTGTGGTTTGTCCCGGGCCCTGGTCGGGTCATGCCCGAGGCAACCGGTCAGTGTGTTTCTCACATGATGTTTCTCTCTTCCCCTCCCACTCTATCTGAAGATGGATGGAAAAATATCCTCAGGTGAGGATTACAAAATAAATTTAAAAACCCTGGCCGGTTTGGCTCAGCAGTCAGAGCGTCAGCCTGCAGACCAGAGAGACCCAGGTTTGGTTCCCACTAAGGGCACGAACCTCGGTTGCAGATTGTCCGCGGCCCTGGTTGGGGTCATGTGGGTGGCGACCATTCGATGTGTCTCTCTCACTTCCATGTTTCTCTCTTTCTTCCCCCCTCTCTCCCTCCCGCTCTATGTGAATATAAATGCAAAAATGTCCTCAGGTGAATATTAAAAAAAAAAGACTAGCCCTGACCAGTTTGCTCAGTGGTTAGAGCGTCGGCCTGCGGTTCGGAGAGACCCGGGTTCGGTTCCCGCTAAGGGCACGTACTTCAGTTGCAGTTTGTCCCCGGCCCTGGTTGGGGTTGTGTTCCTGGCAGTCAGTCGATGTGTATCTCTCACATCGATGTTTCTCTCTCTCTCTTCCCCGTCTTTCCCTCTTGCTCTACCTAAAAAATGAATGCAAAAATGTCCTCGGGTGAGGATTAAAAAAAAGAAAATTAAAAAAAAAAACAAGACTAAACACACCACCTCGAGAGGAACCTCCAGCTGTTCCTTTCCACACCACTACCTTCACCTGTGCCCGCTTTCAAACTGCATTTCATTTTTGCTTCTACAGCGGGACGCTAGGACAATAAAATTAAGAGGTCTTTTATAAGGCACACAATTGTAACATTAAGCGAAAGACCCTTAGAAAAAAAAATATAGTGAACTCAAGCTATAGCGTTTACAATGTTGCTTTTACATGTTTAAGGCAACAACAGAGAACTCGGAGCACAGCCGAGTTTAACCCAGGGCCTACGAAGCTTAAGTCAGGCTCTTTACAGACAGACATCTGCCACCCTTGGTCTAGAATAGTGCAGGACACACAGTCCCACCAATACTTACAGGATGAATATAAAGCTAATAAAATAACACGGGGTCACATCAACATTCAGCATTTGCTCAGTGTCATGAACTGTGCAAAGTACTTCATGCATTATTTAATTTGAATTTCACAACAGTGTTACATAAGAAAATTGGCACAGTCTTGCTCCCTTACCTCCTTCACGGTTTTATTTTTATTTTTTCCTTTATTGATTTTTAGAGAGAGAGGAAGTTGGAAGGAGAGAGAGAGAAACATCAATGAGAGAGAACATCGACTGGCTGCCTCCTGCATGCTCCGCCATGGGGATCAGGCCCACAACCTGGGCATGTGCCCTGATCAGGAATCAAACTGGCGACCTCCTGGTGCGTGGGTCTACGCTCAACCACTGAGCCACACTGGCCAGACCCTCCTTCATGTTTTTAGTCAGCTGCCACTACCCGGAGCACCCTATTCAATATTGCAAACTCTTATTTTCTACCAGCCACTTTGCTTATTCTAAAACAGTTTACCTTATGATGGGTGACATACACACCTGTTTTGTATGCTTATGACAATGTATATTCTATGAGTATGTTTGTGTGCTTACTTACTGATGTGTCTCAACCCGTGAGCAGCCTAGAGCAGGGCTAGCATCTAGTGAATGCCCAGTAAACAGGAAACATTAGTTGGTCAGTGTGGGGGTGGGTGTCCAGGTTAGCTCTGGCCCTGACCTGTGTCTTACATCAGAGCTCATTCTCCTTTCTTTAGGAGTTTGTCAAGGAAAACGTAAATGTAGTCATTCCACTAGTGAAAGGTGAGTTCTAGGCTATTTTTTGAAATCATTTTCTGACAACGGCTCTAATGTTGGCTTATAGCTGACCTCATGGTTACTCTCTCAAAGCAGGTGCTGCTGAGGACTTACCCAGATCACTACGACCCGGAAGTAGTCGATGTAGCCTGGTGCAACCCTTCCAGCAGGAAACAGCAGGGCAACATGGAGCAGCAGCAACTGAACACAAGGGCAAAGACACGTGGACGGAAGGGCCTGGGCAGAAGAGCCTGCAGGGGGGACAAGCCAAATCCAGCCAAGCCAGAGCCAGCCCAGCAGGAGCCTCTCAACACCATGAGGGCCTTGTGTGATCAAGGTGAGGACCACGAGACTGGCCAGCAGGCTGGTGAAGAGGGACCCTTCTCTGATTGTTACATAGAGTGCATAATACGAGGTGAGTTTTCTGAACCCATCGCAGAAGAGGACATTCTTCTTAAGTCCTTCAACTACCTGAAGGAAAGATCAGAGCAAGAGCTTTCTCAACAGGTCCTTAAAGCAAGCTCATTTTTTGAATGTTCCTTGCAATACACGAAAAAAGGGGCCAAACAAGAGTTTCCTCCACAGAATGTCAGAGAGAAATCACTTGTTGAGGATTCTGAGTACACACCAGACAAGAAGCTTCCTCCTGAAGAAACACCCAGCACTAACTTATTAAGTCCTACCCAGCTTGCAGAATTTGCTAGAAATAAGCCAAGAAGAAGTGAAGGATGGGATGCTCCAGAAAAGGTTGTGTGTCCTCAGAGTGGATGCATGAGACAGGTGGGGACTGGACGGTCCCTGAGAAGGCATCTCCTCCTTGTTCATGGTCCCCGAAATCATGTGTGTGCAGAATGTGGGAAAGCATTTTCTGAGAGCTCAAAACTGAAAAGGCATTTCATGGTTCATACTGGAGAGAGGCCTTTTCGGTGCACTTTTAAAGGGTGTGGAAAACGCTTTTCCCTGGACTTCAATTTGCGTACCCATGTACGTATCCACACCGGGGAAAGATCTTTTGTGTGTCCCTTTGAAGGCTGTCACAAGAGCTTTGTTCAGTCAAATAACCTGAAATCTCACGTCTTAACTCATGAAAGACCAAAAATAATCAAGAAGGAGAAGATAGCAAATAATCTTCACACATGATAAGCATTTTAACAAAAGAGTGATTGGGGACAAATACGTCTCGAGAAAGAATTTTTTCTTTTTTTTATAGAGAGGAAGGCAGAGGGGGAGAGATAGTAACATCTATGAGCAAGAACATCGATTGGCCAACTCCTGCATGCCCCCCACTGGGGATGGGGCCCTCAACCTGGTCATGTGTCCTGACTGGGAATCGAACCAGCCACCTCTTGGTTCACAGGCTGACACTCAACTATTGAAACACACCAGCTGGGCCAGGAAAGAATTTTTTAATCAATATTGTAACCCTACAAGGCATATTTCTTAATATTATAATAAGATGCGCCTGTAGTTTGTGATACCACTTTAAGAACACTATACAGAATTATAGTGTGCTTCCAACAGAAAGGTCAGTAATGAACTTTCTTCAAAAGCATAATTCTTAGTCTGTTATGAATTAGGTTATTGAATAAGGGGCTTATTTTCCCATACTATAAAAATGAAATTAACTTTGGTTTTTAAGTTTGTTTCTAATTTACTTTTTTGCCTTTTAGGAATATACTCTGTGCTTTATGTGATAATCTTAGGGAATGAAAAGTTTACAGTAGATTGTCAATAAGTGAATGAGTAGTTTTTTAAAGTGAAATATAATTTGTAATTATTTTCTTTTTTTAAATCATTGTATCAAGCTATTGAAATCATATACCTGGGTCTGAATGGTTATTTGATAGTGTCAATTCATTTGAATTATTTCGGATATTTTCAAATAAAAACAAATACAACCCTAGAAATACACTAAGTCTGGACTGAAAAATCAAAGTGTGCACTAAAGAGAAATACCTTTTATTTGTCTTTGAAAGCAGCAAAAATTGATAGGTCAGTATTGGCGAGATATGGAGCGTTATCGTCTATCTAGTTGGTTAAGGTGTAAACTGTCCCAGCCATTTTGAGGGCATTTTGCAAATTTGCTGTATCGGTTTTCTAGAGCTACCAATCAGGTGGCTTACACAACAGAAATTGGGCCTTCCAGCATGAAGGACAGGGCAAGTCTGCAGGCTGGGAGGCGCCGACACCAAAATGCAACCATGCTGACATTACGATCTTGGACTGCCCAGCGTCCAGAACCTTGAGAAATAAATGTCTGTTGTTTATGAGCCAAAAAAACAAACAGAAAAACCCCCCAAATGTATTGTCTCAAAATTCTGGAAGCTAGAAGTCCAAAATCAAGGTGTTGGCAGAATTGGTTCCTTCTGAGGGTGTTGAAGGATCTGCTCCAGGCTTCTCTTCTGGTTTGTAGGTGACTGTCCTCTGTTTACATGGTGTTCTCCTTTGTGTACGTCTGTGTGCAGATTTGCTGTTACACGGATACCTATCCTTGGTTTAGAGCCCACCCTAATGATCTTATTTTAGCTTGATTACCTCTATAAAGATTCCATCCCCAAATAAGTTCATGTTTGGAGGTACTGAGAATTAGAATTTCAACATGAATTTTGGGGGATACACTGTTCAACCCATAATGTGCATTCTTGTAGACCCAATAATTTCAGTTTTATAGAAATATTTGCACTAGTGTACAAAGATATTTGTTTGAGGGTGTTAACTGGAACACATTTTAATAGTAATAAATGTATAACTTAAATGTCCATTAAGAAGGAACAAGTTGTATAAATGATGAAACCTCTATTCAATAGAAAATGTGCAAATATCCTCAAAGGAAGCTCGGCTGTGAAGGAGAGAAAGCACAGCTAGGGGGAAGTCACAGAGTAGGAGGAAGTTGTTTTTATTTATTTTTAAAATGGTTTTTAAAAAACATTTTGAAAAATATTTATTTATTTTAGAAAGAAGCATCAATTTGTTGTTTCACTTATTTATGCATTCATTGGATGTTTTTTGTATGTGCCCCGACCAGGGATTGCACCCACAACCTTGGTGTATCGAGATGATACTCTAATCAACTGAGCTACCCAGACAGAAGGAGGAAGTTTGTTTTTATTTTATTTATTTATTTACTTTTTTATGTATTTATTTTTATCCTCACCTGAGGACATTTTTGCATTCATCTTCAGACAGAGCGGGAGGGAGAGAGGGAGGAGGAGAGAGAGAGAAACATTGATGTGAGAGAGACACATCAAGTGGTTGTCACCCACACGACCCCAACAGAGGCCGGGGACAAACTGCAAATGAGGTACGTGCCCTTAGCGGGAACCGAACCCCGGGACTCTGGTCCGCAGGCCGATGCTCTAACTGCTGAGCCAAACCAGCCAGGGCAGGAAGTTTGTTTTCAATAGATGGATCAGAATATAGTCTATTTACATGCTGAGGAAGATACTTTAGAGAATGTGATTAACTAATCTGGATAAAGAGAAAAATTGGTCATTCAAAATAGCTGGTAAAAATAAAACTATAGCTCTGATATAGATATTAACTTATTTTTGTGATTATAAATTGAATCCCTCATTGGAATCACTTTATAATGAGCAGAAAATATGCAGCCTTTAAAAACTTGGAATGCATTTTCCCCCAGAGTCAGTATTATAGATAATCCTATAGTTAGAATGCCCATATTTCTTTGATTTTAAGATTTAAAACTCATTGAAGATAATGATAATATGTAACATGAATTCAGCAGCTTTCAGGGGGAAAAATCAGCACAGCAAACAAATAAACTTTAAGGTTATTCTTAGTGGAAAAGAACATTGGATAAATAATCCATTCATAAATTTGGAACTTCCTCTGAATGAAACACCCACGTATAGAATTTAGGATGGGAATTTTATCAAGATGATGGAGCATAGATTTGTCTGGTTTTTGCATTGCAGCAGCATTTGCTTTGGTCCTAGGTTTCTACTTCAGAGTTGAATTAGAACATAGCACCTCAGAAGACCAAGCAGAAGACAGGATTATATAGAAAGCAGTCAAGACTCGATAAAATCAATGGCAGGTTTTAGGCTGTAAACTTAAGACTTGGGACTCATGGCATCGAGAAGGCTCAAGGTTGACGTCCTCTGTGTGAAGGGTGTTCTATTTCTGTACAGCACTTTTTCTGGAGCTAAAGGGGCCAAAAGCTAAGTATTTACAACCTGGAAACTTGAGTGTACAAGGAATATCAATCAGAAAGTGCTTATGTTTGATTCCAAGGTTTAAATTCTGACTTGGGAATAAGACACAACTTGGCTAGCCTCCTACATGTTCTTTTATTTTATTTTATTAATCCTCACCCAAGGATATTTTTACCATTGATTTTTTTTATTTTATTTTATTTTAAGATAGTGGGAGGGAGGGGAAGAGAGAGACGCATTGATTGGTTGCCGGCACACACCCAACTGGGGCTTTGGATTAGGATGGATTCTGCAACCCAGATACTGCCCTTTGGTGTGTGGGCGGGTGCTCTAACCATTGAGTCACCAAGGTCACACCAGAGCCAAGTGTTCTTTTATTTTTCTTTTCCAAAGAGGAACCCTCAAACTGTTCAGAATGTAAGCAAAAAAAAAAAAAAAAATGCGGATGTCATGAAAAAAAAGGGAAAAGATTAGTGACAATATGTCAACTGAAATCTTAATGTTTCACAAAAGAAATACACATAGTTGCCACATTTGTATTTTAAGTAAGAAGCATGATCACAAAATGTGTGAACACATATCCAGAGAAAAAAACCATTCCTTCTATTTTTCTACATGTCTCTGGATACTGGCACTTTACAAATCCTAATGAATGAACAGGTATTTTTGTTTTCGTGCTATTTGAATTCATGGCCCATATAACATTTTTTTAATGGACAAAATACTGTCAGAAGGTAACAGATGGGTAGTTAGAATGGTAATGGGGACAGAGGGTACAGCACAGGGAACATAGTCAATAATGTAGTAACTATGATTGGGCCTGGTGGATACTGGAAGTTCCAAGGGGAACACCTTTTAAAGTACATGGTTGTCTAATAACTATGCTGTACCCCTGAAACCAATACAAATTAATACCGAAAGTAAACTGAAAAGATATTAAAAAGGTAAGAAAGTAACATTACAGAGATGCTCAGCGCTTTCTTAGTACCTCTGACACATAGGAATAGTTGGCAATTAATACATTATGGAATATATAAATGGAAAAAATTGTGTAATACAGTTGTTAAAACTTTATATAATTCAAAAACAGCTAATAAAAGCATTACTTTATATAAACTTTATATAACATTTTTTTACCTAAAACCTGGTTACTTGAAATAAAGGTGGGTCACTTGACTAAAGTGATACATGCTCCCTGAAAGAAAACAAAGCTCTGTGTGTTCACTACCTGTGCATACATCGATTCTTACTCCTTGAAAGTATCATCCTCTTAAAAGAGATTTTCAATGAAAAAAAAAGTTACGTTGTTTATTTTTAATAGAGAAAATTATCTTAAACCTCATTACTTTTTTGGTTTTTTTTTTATTGTTTCTGCTTTCCTCCTGAGACAGGAGACTGAGGGTCTGCTCACCTCCTAACATCTTGGATAACAGAACTAACCTGCATTGAGAAGAATATGAACCAAGACTGATTAGATAGTCAAAAGTGTGTCAAACCATTTACATTCTTACTTTACATTAGTTTCTTTTGTCTTATGCTGTGTGATACGAGCACAGGTCTCCCAAACAGTCATACTTGGTTTTTTCACCCTATAATTTCACCCATTTCCACATATAATGTACATTGGTATAGCATATATTGATAGGCATAGGATTTCTATCCTACTCTATCCCAAAAGAATTCTATCCAAAGCATGTTTGTCATATATTACTTTCCTACCCAATATGCATGTGTAGAAATTTGTGTGTGCTTATATTTTAGTTATCTAATGCACTAGCTCTGACTGAATAAATTGCATGATTACATCCTACATTGGACACAGAACAGTGCAAGTTACATTAAAAAGCCATTATATTTGCAACTCTGAGCAAGAGACTATAATTAAAAGGCAATTGGATGAAATTAGCTTTGAGAGTACAAGAGTTTAAGTAGGATTTGGTAAATGAACATTAATGGTTAACATGT